GCCGGGGCCCATCACTAATTCCAAACTCCTACCCCTCAAATCCCTTTACTCTTCAAGCCGACTGTGGAGAATGGACTCTCATCGCCACCTCCGCTTTGCTGAGAACCGCAGAGCGGCCCAGAGCGGGGCCCGCGTGCTGGACGCAGGACGGCAGGCCGGGAACAGACACCCGGCAGGCTCCGGCTCCCCGAGGGTAGTCGGCCCGTCCTCCTACCGCAGACGCCACTCTGCACGACGGAGAGCGCGCGGAAAGCCCGGCACGAGCCGCTGCCCCGAGCTCCAGGGTTAAGGATACCCACGGCCAGGATCTTCCCTTCCAGCGCCTCGGGGCTGACCCGGCGCCCGGAGCACTCCAGCAGCTTCCACAGCCCCTGAACTCCCATAGGGCAGGCGCACGGTGCCGGCCGCGCCGGGCCTCAGCTGCCAGTTCTACCAGGGGACGCAAGCGGACGGCTCTCCGACTTCCACTCACGCAAAACCCACGGCTCTCCGACGGAACAGTAGCTACCCGGGCTAGAGGAAGTAAACACCGCGCTGGCACACTTCCGGTGTAGACCCCGCCTCCCGGAAGAAAGGCACCATCAGAGCGTGGCGGCGGTGGAAAGGGCAGTCTGTGCAGCCTGAGTGTCAGCACTACAGAAGACTAAGATGAGGAAGTAGAATGGGCGACACCAACACACGTCCCTTCTGTGGTGCTGGCTTTCTCCCCCAGACCCGGGCTACCACAACTGACACTTCTCGGTTTCCGTCCAAGGATGCGTAGTACGCTTTGACGCACTGAGGTATATGCTCTACGCTCCGGAAGTGGGTGCGGAGTTGCGACCCAGTGTTTGGAGCTTTTGTGTTTGTTTTGCTGGCTTCCTGTTGCCGTTAAAAATGTTAAAGATAGTTGCACTTTAGCAGGAGTGACGTCTTTTATGCGCTTTTCCAGTATCGGGTTCTCCCCGTTGCCCAGTCGTGATGCTAAGTATTATGTTAAACGGAAAGAGACAACGGAAAGCTTCCTTGGTGTTTTCAAAGTTACATCTATGCAAGGTAGCATGCACTGACTAGATAGTACAGCGCCGTGCTTACCCTTGAAATGGAGTTTTCCCCAGCATCTCAAACTTAGAATTCCACAGCTCATGGTCAGAAAGGGTTTGTGGTAGGCAGAGTAGTTCCAGGAAAGGCCCTGGACTCGATGCCAAGATTCAGATCGCAGACCTGCGCCTCGTCATCGTGATTAGCGTTGCTGGGATCACATTTCTTAAGAATTTCTGTTCCACTATCAGGAAACGGACATAAAAGCAATCTTTAAAGATCAAATTTCACATTTGTTTGAGTTTACAGTATTAAAAATTGGGATTCAAACCCAGTGAAAAGGGTTAATTTGTAGCAACAGGTAGAAAGACATGGAAGACAGGCAGGAATACCACAAATTCAAGAGCAGCCGGGACTACATGGGCCTTGTCTAAGAAAAAAGAAAAGAGAAAGATAATTTCTCAAAAGAATATTTTATAGCAATAATCTGTCAGGAATCAGGTTTTGAAAAAACATTTCTATGTCCACACAGATGGTTTATACCAGCTATGTGTAGTTCTTAGTCATAGCTGATTTTCTATCAGGAATAAGCCTTGCAACGTGTTTTTTACATTTCCTCAATGTGTAAAATGATCAAAAGTTGTATTTTACTGAGGGTAACATAATCACCTGTTTAATTTTCGTCTCCTTCCAGTAATAAACTAAACTTGTTGAAACGAATTTCTATCTTGATAACATCCCACGCTTCTAACACACAGCAAGTTTGTAAATGCTGACGAAATGACCTCTCAAACCTCCAGTTTGACGATGCTCTCCAGTGCAGCTTTCATCCTATTTGGTTAGATAGGATAACCATGTGTTCAGGGTTGAATTAGGTTCTCCAAAATTCACAAGTTGAGCCCTAATCCTTAGTACTTCAGGGTCTTTTAAAAGTGATTATCTTAAAATGAAGGCATTAGGAGGTCTGAGAGTACAGGAACTAGATTTTAGCAAAACTATTTTTATGTCTAAACAGATAATATGTAGTAGCCATGATTAGTAGATCACCTGCATGAATGTGCAAGGCCACAGATTTGATTTCTACCACCTCACAAAAAAAAAAAAAGAAACCATTCGTGTAGCCTCTAATCCAATATGACTTGTATCCTTATAAGAGGAAATCAGAACACAAACTCCAGCATATAGGAATGCCACCGATTTCTTAGGGTTTCTGCACTTTTAACACTAAACTTAGTAATAGCATTAAAATTAGCTTTTAGCCAGGCATGGTGGTGCACACCTTTAATCCAAGCACTCAGGAGACAGAAGCAGGCAGATCTGTGAGATCAAGGTCAGACCTGTCTACATAGCAAGCTCCAGGTCAGCTGGGGCTTTAGAGAGATCCTGTCTCAAAAAGGAAATAAGAATTGGATTTTAATCTTTAAATGGATGACTGGCAGAGTAGAAGTGCTGTGAACTAAAGTAAGTTAAAGAATATGATGGATGGGGCTGGAGAGGTGGCCCAGTGGTTAAGAACACTGGTTGTTCTTGCAGAAGACCCAGGTTCGAATCCCAGCACCCATTAACAACTGTCTGTAACTCCAGTCCCGGGCGTTCCGACAGCCTCTTCTGACCTCCTTGCACAACAAAACAAGGGTGCACTTACCTACATGCAGGCAATACACACATACACATAAAATTAAAATAAAAAGAATGTGATTGACGTGGAGCAGCTGCTTGAGCCCCTCCCATGCCTAGAATAAGGCAAGTTAAAAAACATTACACTTGCTGCACCAGCTTGGCCTAATGGAGCATAGCTCTGTAACAGTGGTCCTAGTGGGAACAGGATGGTTACAGGATTTAAACTGCCTGAGAGCTAGGTAAAAACAAATAGAGCCATTGTGACCATTTGAGTACTGTACATGCTTTTAAAACCAGAGCACTATTTTTAAATCTGAAATGCTTTTGAAGGAATAGCAACTAAAATGTATCCAATATAAGGGGAATTAGCTCTTTTCAGTGATGTTTAAAGGGCTGTATACTACCTGATCAGTTAAACAGGCATCTTTTGGAATAGTAATAATAATAGCAGGCACTTAAATAGCATTTTCTATGCGCTCCCTTTCTAAATACTTACACATAATAGCGTATTTGTTCTTCCAAACCACTTTGCCAATGTGGAAATAATCTCCCAGGTGGTACAACTGTGAAAACTTCTGGGAATGCCTTCTGTTACAAGTGAGAGTTTTATCTCGTACGTTTTGAAATAATTTGTCACAAGCTAAACACATAGCTTTTAGTCTTAAACTAAGTTCCCTATTTCTCCTTCATGACTATTACTTGCTCCTGACAGAATTTGTGTGTGAGTGTGTGTGTGTGTGTGTGTGTGTGTGTGTGTGTTTTAATACTGTCACTTGGAAGTATATGTGTCTGTGTTGTGATAATGTCATCACTGGAAGCAGTGGCCTTCCAAGCACATTGAAAGCAATGAATTATCCACAGTGTATGTTGAAAAAAAGAATTATGTGGGCTTAGGTTGCCAACATCTGCTTGGTTTTGTATGCTGTTGTAGGTCAGAAAAGGAAAATTCTTCCCTGGTAAAATCCCTGGCTAAAGATTCTTTAAGACAAAGTTCCTCACTGCTTTCCCATATCATGTTGGATGTGCTGTTCAAATAAACAGAAACGTCCTTTGTTTGAAGAGCAGTTCTGAGAGAAATCAGAAAGGAACAGTTCTGAAAGCAGATCAGGCTCATTCTGTTTCAGTGACTGCTGCACTGCGCTGCACTGTGGCATCGGCCACAACAACTAGTCCCTTCAGAGCCAGCATTTCAGTCTTGATTCCATCTATGAAGTTCCTAATAGAGTTCACTAAGAAATCAATTAAGATGGGAGTATTATTAGTTTTCAAGGCGTGCTATGCAGGAACTCTTGCCTACTATATTCTGAAAAATCTGTTCCACAAACTCAAACATTACTCTGCTCTGGATAACTCCTAAACTTGTAAGCCAAGGTTTTAAGTGATCACTATATCAACATTTTTATAAAAAGTAATTATGATAGTATGTGTGTAATAAATTCATCCTCTTTAACCAGGTGTCAGTTGATTTTTTAGCTTCATATATATTTTCCTTCTTTCGTCTTGGCTCTTCATACCTACCTGTTTTGAAATACTCAGCTGAATAATTATGAAACAGCTTATATTTAATACTTTCGACCCACAAAAATTGCTTCATCTGGTTCAAGCTACCTTGAGAATCAAATTTTCAATTTCTTATAATCAAGCATTAGAGAATCAACACCCAAGCATTAGAGAAGTGGTAAATATGAAAGTCATAATTTGCATTGTTTCATTGACTATAAAAGTTGCAAGATGGTTCTCATAGCACTACTTATACAGAACTGACGAATTATCATGTATTTTGCACTAACTCTGTGAAATACAGTAAGGATGGATACTCCATAACTAAAACATAGATTCAGTAACATTCACATGACTAAAAGTAGAAAACAAAAAACTTTATTTGATGAAAACGTTTTAAAAGTTCCAGTATGAAGTAACAAAAATCGACAACCTACAAATCTCTTTCAGTCCTTTGCATTTCAAGTAAAATAATCTCTTCAGAAAAAAATGACCATTTCATAATATATATCCCTTTCTGTAAGCTAGACATATATGAGTGGATAAATGGATATAAAATTCAAGAGAAAAATGAAAATATTTTAAAAATAAAAATCTGAACCCTCTCCTTGAGGTGTATTACAGTATGGGTGCCAACACACTCAGCACCTTGTGATCACTGCGTCACCAAACTGAGTCCTGGAATGAACCCCTTACATGAAAGAATGAGATGCCTGAAGTCTGTGGGTCACACGGTGGCAGAAGAAAAACTGACAGCAGAAGAAAGGAGCTCAAGTACCGGGCCCACACTTCTGAAATACTTAACACGCTTCAAACAGCTAACTGCCCACATGTTCACAAAAAGAAACAACTCAGAGTTTAGAATACAGAGTTGTCCTCAGAGTGAACTGGACATTCCTGATGTGTCTTTAGTACTTTAACACGACTCCATCAAATGGGTATCACTGCAGATTACCTTGGGTATAGAGATTTCTGATGCCAATTATTCTTTAACTTATCCCTGAAACAAGGTTTGTTCTGGACTAGACTCTTTCAAGACCTAAGCTTCTTTGTAGCTATGGCACAGTTAACATACCAAGTCAAGAATATCCAGATCAATGCTGTAAGTCATCCACATGCACCAGTAAGAAAGATCAGTTTCTTTAGTCCTTTCTGCCTCTTTATTGCAAATCCTGAGACAGTTATTCAGGAAACAAAAGAGGCAGGAAAGGCATCCTAGACTTGAAAGATACTAGACTGACAAAAGAATTTTAAATGATCTTTAACCATTATCAAAAACTAGAACTTGACAGCACTCCTGTTTTTAAGGGCAGATGGTGCCTTGCATCTTAATTTTTAGGAATAAAATTATCTGTAATAAATGACTAGGGATCAAGTTTCAAAAAATCACTTCATGCTTAAGTACTCAAATCCTGATGCCGTTAAGTGCATCTGTGTTTCTGTTTAGATGCAACTGTGATTTTATTGGATTTTGTGAAACTTTCTGTCCAGATTGTTTATATACTTTTAACTTTAAAAGGGCAATAATCTGTGCTTATCTGCTTATGTATTTGAAAATCACCCAACATAATCATATATAAGCTTATTTGCTAGAGAACTACAAGGTTATGCTTTGTACCACAAGATATGTTCCTATTAATAGTCTTAATAAAACCGTCTGCTGTCTTAATGACGTCCTATACATGACAGCTGTGTGGGTGACCCATGGTGCGGTTCCCAGCATGGTCAGTCATTGCCACTGTAATCACTGTAGCCGTGGTAGCCACTGTTCCTCCTCTCGTGGATGCTCGACATCTTTTTCCAAGCTGAGTCCTGGTGGAAGCTAGCGCTGAAGGACCTGCCCAGACGCCCATGCTGCTTCTTGGAGATGTTGTCTTCACTCTCAGATTTGGCAATTCCCTGGGCATGTGTGGGAGGTTGTGATTCTTGTCTAATGGTTCCAAATGGAAAGTTCCAAAGGTCAAATCTTTGCCAACTGAGTCTCTGGAATGCTATGATGCAATGCAGATTTCCTCCAACCTGAAAAAGGAAAATCGAATTAATTATATAGTTTTATGGGGTCCTTATCAACTCCCTTGGCACCTGAAAGCAGTACCCTTCTGTTCCACCCGCAAAGCACACTAGCCTATTCACCCTTCCTGACAGTTGCCTTTACAAAGTGTAACAAAGCCCTTAGGAGCCAAAATACTCACAGTTCCATATGCTTCTCCACAACTTAGACTTAACCTGGTCACAGCCCCATATGCCTAATTCAAAACTAAGATCACGCCTCTTCCTCTTCTCTTCCCTCCCTTCCTTCCCCTCCTCTCTCCTTCCTTCACTCCCTTCCTCTCTCTGTGTGTATGTATATGAATTCTTTTGTTTTTTTAAGACAGGCTCTCCCTGTAGTCCCAGCTGTCCTGGAACTCACTATGTAGATCAGACTGACCTCTATCTGACAGAGATCCACCTGCCTCTGCCTCCTGAGTGCTGGGATTAAAGGTGTGTGCCACCACACCCAGCTCTGAATGTTTGAGACAAGATCTCAATATATAGTTCAGGGTGGCCTCAAACCTACTATGTAACTCAAGCTGTCCTCAAACTCATTGTTCTTCTGCCTCAGCTTTCTGAGTGCTGAGATCACAGGCATGTGCCACCACCACCAGCTTCACCTATTTTACTAACAGAGCAACTGAGCCACACTGTGTCTACTCCTGAGAAAGCCCCACAGCCATGTTTGTCAATAGGCTCTGTCTGCCTCATGACTACAACTGATTTGCCCAAGTTCAGCCAAGACTATGGAACCGAATCAAGTCTAGACCTTGAAAGAAGTCATAAATTGAGAGATAATATGAAATAAATACATTTTCAGATGAAAGAGAGACTATGAAGACAGATAGCCTACATAATAAGAGTGATGAATAGTCCTAGATTCTTCACTTCTGCTAGTATTCCTGTGCTGAGCGTCATTCTCGTGACTCCGTGCTCTTCTTGCCCTGGAGTAGAAAGATAACTCTGCATCTTTAAAATAAATCTTATTTTTCTTTCTGTCTAAAGTGGTTTAAACTTGGTTTCTGTTATTTGCCACATCAAAATCATTGAATTTAGCCAGAGGCAGGCAAATCTCTGTGAGATAAAGGCCAGCCTGGTCTACTTGGTAAGTTTCAGTCCAGCTGTGGCTATAGGGCGACCCATTCTCAAAAGGACAAAAAAAGGGGTGGGGGGGTACTGAGTGAATACTTCATTTTGGTCATTTGGGAAATGCCTTCAAGCACAGTGTTCTTACCTTCTTTGTTTTTCGAAACTGCAGCCCTCTCTCTAAGTGTCGGATATCTAGGTATTCTGGATTTTGAGTGTTTAGATCAGTGACGATATCTGCCCATCTATAGTTGAGAAAAGGGAAAGCACAATTTTCTTTAGGTCCAAAGCACCATTTGAAGTTTTGCAAAGGAGCAAGTTGTTGCACTACTATCACAGCAACAACTAACTAATTCTCTTAGCTCAGCATCTTTCCATCTACTGTTTTGAAAAATTGTTTTTTGACAGTTATCATTATCCAATTACTGTCAATGTTCTCAATTTATCATTGGTTTCTATGTTAATAATATATGTTAACAGAAAATATCTTGCAAGTTAAAGCAGCGGCATGGCACCTTTTCCTTTTAATTCTAGCCAAGTCAGTTTGGGGTTTTGTTTGCTTGCTTTGAGGTGGGGTTAGGGCATGCTACATAGGCTGGCTTTGAACCCCTTGGTCAAGTGAGCCTTTTGCCTCAGCTTCCTGCATAGCTGGGATTTACCAGCATGCCATTACTGCATCTGGTAAAGTTCCTGAAAGAATTAAAAGGTAATATGTCTTTACTAACATACAGCATAACCGTGCAGAAAATGAGTATTATAAAATAACTAGTAAGTGAATTTGGTAAAGATGTAAAAATCAAGGTCTATATATGAAAATTGGAGATTTTTTCTTTGTACAACCAGCAAATCTGAAAATTAAAATTTTTAAAATCAGTTTACAGTAGCATCAAAAAATTCAGTTAGGAAGAACTTCTTTTAAAAAAGACTACATGTATGGCTTTATACTGAAAAGTAAAAATCACTGCTAAAATAAATTAGAGTTCTAATTACACAGCAACTCAGTCCAAAGCTGCAGCCTAGAACATTCCACATCATGATAATATCAATTCTAGGCTACACTGTGAATTCTACAGATTCTATCTTTTCTTTGTAAACTTTAATTTTGTATTTATTTTATTTATTTTGCATGCATGAGTGCAGATGCCCACATGCCACAGCACATGTGGAGGTTGAGGATGACTATCAGGGATCAGTTCTCTCCTTCCACCATGTGGGTTCTGGGAATCAACTCGGGTCAACATGCAAATACCTCTACTCACTGAGCAATCTCCCAGTCCTACAGACTCTCTCAATCAAATATTCATTGGACTTTTAACAGAAATGGACAGATTCCAAATTTTTAAGGAAAAATCAAATTTTCTTGATATGTTACTTAAATGAAACAGCAGGCCAAAAAATACAGAATTCTATTTACACAGAAATTCAGAACAGGAAATGCTCATCTGTGATGACGAGAATCAGGACACGGGCTGTCTGTGGCTGGAGAGGAATGAAGAATGACAGTACCTTCTGCGACTGGGTGATGATTACATGGGTGTTCACACTTGTCAAAGTTCATCTAATTATACAGTAATGACCGTGCCTTAACTACAAATAAAAGTCTTACCCCAACAATAAAAGAAGGAAGGGAGGGGAAAAGGAAGGGAAGGGAAGGGAAGGGGAGGGGAAGGGAGGGGAGGGGAGAAGGGGAGGGAAGAAGGGAAGGGAAGAAGGGAAGGGAAGGGAAGGGAGGCTGCTAAAACATACTTTTTACAGTGAATTGCAGGATGTTTTCTGCTTGACTCTCCAATTAAAATCCAGTATTCTACTTCCTGTGGCGAGAGTGGGCCCCTGCTAAATATAAAATGCACTCAGTCAGCGCAATAAAGGTCATTCACACCACACAGCATGCTTTTTCAACTATGTATTAATAAAAGGTACACTAAAATTTGCTCAAAGATGATATTCATTAATCTAGAAAGGATATCAACACAGGCTTGGGTCATTAAAGAGACTCCTTGAATTAAGATTAAGCCATAGTTAGTTCCCAATTCAAAATCTAGGGCTCAAGTTTTACTATATTCCCCTCAAATCAGAGGGGACTGTGGCTAGTCCCTTCTTCTTGATGCATCCAAGTTTCTAATGGAACCCTAAAAATATAACACTAAAATAATGCTGCCCCTGGAGGTGGGAGGATGACACTTACCATGCTCTAGTTCCATCCCTGGAAATCCTAACTCAAACTAGTCTAGAGGGGAGTCTGGGTATTGACATATTTTTTTAAGAAAAAATTAATTCATAGGTACAGGCATTGGTGAGGAATTCAGTCTTTTTTTTTTTTAATGTGTATGAGCATATTGCCTGCATGTAGGTAGGTGCAGCCATGTCATGCAATGCTCATGGAGGTCAGAAGAGGGTGTCAGAACCCCTGGAACTGGAGTTACAGATGGTTGTTAGCCGCCATGTGGGTGCTGGGAATCAAACCCGGGTCCTCTGCAAAAGCAGCCACTGCTCTTAACTGCTGAACCATCTCTCCAGTACTGGAATTTAGTCTTTTAATGGATACAAAGAACAATAGAAGTAAAACTACATTTTACATTTGGTAGATGCCTGAAATAAGGGTAAGACATAGGGTGGAATCATAAAAGAGGCACAACCAATGTACCTCACTTATAAGAAATCCCACTCCAGAGAAGTGGACAGAGCAATTCAGGAGACGGAAAGAACAAGCAGTTTCTTTATGCACCAAACTGCAGCATTCAGCTTTTTGGCTCCTCTAGCTTGCTCCCACCTATCTCAGGTTCCTGACTCAAGGGCCTCTAAGGGGGATTCCAGGGCCCCAAGGTCTCCAGTTCTAGAGAACCATTCCTATCCTGATGGCCAAGCCATGTTCTCTGGCTAGACACTGGCCTATCACTGAAGAAACAACTTCCAAGGGCCATCCTGCCTTTTCCTCTTCAGTCACCATTCCCATCAAGCCAAGTCCGAATCAAGCAAAACCTAGGCAGTGTGAGACTGCTGTGCCTGCTGGGACATTTACACAAAGCACGTATGGCTTCCATTTTCAACCGGTCTTAACCAGAGTACCCCTCTTCTTTCAGCTATCCTGGCATTCACACAATCCATCATGAAGAAAAGGATTCAAACTCAGCTCTTTTTTTGAGATTATCTTCTTTGAAGAGATACAAATTTATGTACACATTAAGACATGTCCATAAAACAGAAACTGGATTAAGCAAATAAAGAGGCAAATACAGCCATGAAGGGTAGAAATGAACTCTTGCCCTGAGCCCACTTGTGAACCAGGATAAAGGGGGAAACCTGACAAACTTCTTGTTCTTCACTTCAAACAGTTGTAAAATCTTGACACACTGTGCAGGTGGGGCACTCGATGACCCTGGAAGCAGCATGTAAAGGCCTCTGCAACTGTGTATAGTAGTTATAAAAATCGTTCCCCAAATGGCTTTATCTTACAATGACTGAAGAACAGGTTCTAAGTGGAAATTTTTTTAAATACAGCTTAGAGCAATTCTGAAAAGAAAAAAAAAAGCTACATTTAAAGCAGTCTAACTTGATGTGACCAATTTCTAAGAGACTAGATTTTTCTTTTTTGTCTTTTTGAAACAGGGCCTCCCTGTAGCCCCAGCTGGCCTAGCACTCACTATGTAGACCAGGCTGACCTCAAACTCACAGAGATCCACCTGCCTCTGCCTCCCGAGCACTGGGATTAAAGGGATGCACCACCACGCCTGGCGAGACTAGATTATTTTTATTCTTTTTGGGAAAAAATTTATTATCTTTATTTTATGTGTATGAATGTATTGTCTGTGTGTAAGGAGCTGCACCCGTGTTGTGCAGTGCCTATGGAAGTCAGAAGATGGCGTCAGATACCCTAGAACTGCAGTTATGGGTGGTTGTTAGCTACCATGTAGGTGCTGTGATTCAAACCTGGGTCCTCTGCAAGAGCAACCAGTGCTCATAACCACTGACCCATCTCTCCAGCCCCATTTTTTATTCTTTAAAACACTTTCTAAAACACATTTTCCTGGGAAAAGACCCACATCAACTATGTAAATCCTTACCTGAATGCCTTGTTAGCTTTAACAGGTGTTGCTTCAAAACCAATTGGACAAAAATAATGATTCTGGCAGTGATAGATGTAAGCCAGTGACTCGTCTTTCAATCCACGGGTTAATTTTGACAAGGCGCCAGAAGCTACAAAAACAAAACCAAGAAAATAAACTGAGAGTCTCAAAGCAATGTCCATACTTACACAAAGACGTAAACACTGGAAGACAGAAATGACATAATGTGGAACACACTGACATTCTGGGCAGGGTTGAAGGGATGAGAAGCTATTGATGGGTTTATAAGTGTGAGTGAATTTATTTTCTGTTTTACTCAATAGAGTGAAATTCAGTAGCAAACAGAACTGACATATGTCCTTGCTTACCAAAACTTTGTAAGAATGAACAAAGTTGTCTATGAAATGTATTGACTGTATAAAACCCAGTAACTTATGTGTACAGCCATGTATTCAACTTGGCTGGTTGTGTACATCTGTCACTGAAAATTGCTGAAAAAGCATGCCCAATTTAAGCTCATTTGTTTATAAACTGTATACATATACTATTCTACAAAATATTTAAAAAAAGAATTTGAAATTAAATCATAGGAATTCATGTATGTGTGTGAGTGTATAGTGTGTACATCACAACTGAAAGATAACTAATGCATAGTGATAAATATAAACTCCAGATCAAAAGAAGCTCCAGTAATGACAAACACCCCCCAACTACCCAATAACACACACTGTCATCTTTCCACAAACGTTACACAGATCAAAGGCCATCAGCTTTGAGGTCAGAGTGATAAGAACATCTCTTCAGTCAAGCTGGAATACCACAAACATTCCTCCTCATCTGTTTCCCATCATTGTGTCAGTTGTCAAGTCATTTCAAAAAGTATTACCATAAGAAACAAGTTTTTCTCAGCACTCAGTACTCAAAGCCATTAACTGAGGTTTCATTAACTTGCATCCCTGGAAGAAATTAAATTATTCATTAACAAGTAGCTATTAAAGCTAGAAACCTAAAAATAGAAAAATAATAGCTTGCAAGTTATATTCACAGTGATGAACTTTCTGGCCACTGAAATAGCTGCTGACCAGCAAGAATATCCAATCAGTGGCTACAGGAGCATCATAGAGGTGCCCCACCATCCAACACAGAACTCTGCCTGTGGAGATGGTACCATTTCTTTTTCAACTCTTTGAAGTTTCATCAAGGCCTTCCACATTGATTTTTACTTCCAGGCAGATCAACAGAGTACCCTTGTACAGATAGGGGACCTTTTCTAATAAAATATCTCATAAAGAAAATAATAAGTCTTTCTGTAAGTTGAATTATGTTCCCTCACACTCTAAAAACCAACCCCTGGGCCAGGCGTGGTGGCACACACCTTTAGTTCCAGCACTTGGGAGGCAGAGGCAGGCAGATTTTTGTGAGTTCAAGGCTAACCCGGTTTAAATATGGAGTTCCAGGACAGCAAAGGCTAAAAAATGAGACTCTTGTTTAAAAAAAAAAAAAAAAAAAAAAAAAAACCCTGGGCAGCTCTAGATGAAGAATTTTAAAAGCTAAATTCAGAAGCAAGTCGATCTCATTTTCATAACTGAACTTGACTGTAGATGGGTTTCAGATAGTAAAGCAGGATAAAGTGTGTAGATTTCCTCTTCCTACATGCAAATATTATAAAAGATGCTTAGGGGCACAATTGGCTTAGGAAACATTATTTTTTAACTGTGTAAATGCCCAATGAAAAGCTTTCTCAAATAACTGAAACTTTTTTTTGCAATGCTGAGAACTGACCTCCAGGCCTTAGACATGACAGGCAAGCTTTCTGCCACTGAACTACATTCTCTGTTCTGATAATTTGTTGTTGTTGTGTTTCTTAAAACAAGGTTTCAGTCTATAGCCCAGGCTAGCCTGAAACATTATGTACTCCAGGCTGGTCTTGTACTCACAGCAATCCTCCTGCTTAGCCTCCTGAATGCTGGAATTACAGGCATGCCTGGCAACCCTGATACTTTTAAAAAATCATTAATTATTTTTATTTTATATGTATGAGTGATTTGTGTGCATGTATGTAAGTGCATCATGTGCATGTAATGCCTGTGATGGCCAAAATAGGAGACTGGATCCTCTAGAACTGAAGTTAAGGATGGTTAGCCACTATGTGGGAGCTGGGAACCAAACTAGAGTCCTCTGTAAGAAGAGTCAGTGCTCCTAACTGATGACCCATCTCTCTATCCCCAGCCTTGAAACTTTTAATAAGAGAAAAATAAAAGAACTTTCATTATAAATGTAATACAAAAGTAATTTAGTGGGACTGTAAATAATAGTTACTTTAATGTTGCACAATATTATTTGCAATTTCAGGGGTAGACAAGATAAGTAAGAAAGCCTGTCTTCATTATTATTCACATCATTTTGTCTGCTGCAAACACTTTCCCCATGCCCTACTTTTCCAGAAGACACAGGGTAGGTTTTCTTCTATAGAATAATGTTTCTAGACTTATTGAATATAATACATAGCTTTATCCATATAATTTATAATATCTGTGGGTAGATGATACTCAAACAGTTTTTTTCTTACTTCAAGGTACATAATAACATCTTTCTGATGATTTAGAGATCGGCAGACTTGTTCTTGAAGCAGAGCTGCTGTAGCCAAAAAAAGGTGTCCACCCTCTCTCCTTCCAGCCAAGGCCCTTCCACATAATACTTAAGTCTCAACTGAGCACAGCTTTATTTCCTATCAATGCAAAACCAAACTCTTAATAAAGAGGCTGGGTACATCTCTTTAGGAAGACAGAGCAGTAGGTTTCAAACTTTAAAAGAAAGGACTTGTTCAGTGATAAATTGCTGGAACCCACCCTCAGAGTGAGTAACTGACATTGTAGGTCTGCAGGTCAAGGACCAAGAACTGGAACTTCTAACAAGTTACCAGGTATAGTCCAGAGACAGTATTTTGAGGTTGGCTGGTCTAAAGAAAAAGAAAGTTTTGACTTGATTTAATTTAACCTAGAAATGGTATCAGATACTACAGGGAAACAAGTCAAGCTCTAGCAGGGAAGATGAAACAAGTAACTTTAAGGTATAAAAATACAGTGCCACAAAAGGGTACAGAATTCAGAGGAGAAAGGGCACATAGGGTTTGAGGAATCAAAAAGGGTGGCATTCAAGGTGGAACTTAATGACATGGTGGGATTTCAGCAGTCCAGACAGAGCAAAGTGCAGGAGGAGAAAGCACACCCACAGGAGGGGGCACAACATATTCAGGAAACAGCACATCACCTAGCTTAAAACATGGGGTACAAGAGCAGAGAGAAGCCTACCGTAGGACACCCCCACAATTTCAGGACAAACTCAGAGAAAAGATCACCTTCTGAAATAAAAGACAGTGAGTAGAGCATTTATACATTAAGGTAGTCACCCATGAAAACGGTTCTGTATATGAAGTCAAACCTGTATTTAGAGTGTAGTTCCCCATAAGATATCTGAAAAATCTAAAACTTAAGTGATAAAGCAATTGCTTCCAAATGCAAAGCCACGAGCTGAACAGGGGAGAGATGGGATATAAAAAAGGCTACAAGCATTAGATGCAGAGCTGAGAGAGTCCATGTCCTGAGCTGCCAACAAGAGAATCCAGCCCCCTCTGGCATCGCAGATCTGACCTTAATACCTGATTAGCACCTGGCATTCTTTGAGTTGGTTTAGTATGAACTTGTCCTACAGAAGAATCCTAGAGAGCTCTAGAAGAACAACTTCTGAGAATGCATTTTTATACATTCAAAGGCAAGGGAAGATTCTGGAACTATGAGAGGCAATCCAGTATCATCCCATTGTCCTGCAAGGGCCCTGCCCATCTTGATATCTTTTAACAACAGGCACACTAGAAGATGCCTGGAAAGCCAGTCTGTATTGGCTTCAACTGATATTAATATGATGGAGTCTTTGCTGGAGAAGCCTAGATAGGTCCTGAGGAGGAAAAGCATGTGTTCACACTGCAAGTTAAGGAGAACTATCTTTGTGTTTAATATGAATTGGAGGGAAACCAGCGGTGAAGGAAACAGTACTAATGCACTACAGAAAGCTGGTAGCTATGGTCAAGGGGAGGGCATGGAAGGACAAAGCAGGAGTTGGTATTACATCAAAAAGAAGTAAGGAACCAAAACGCCCACTGGGAGGACAAAGCTAAATTTCAGAGCTTAAGTATAATTTTCAAGCAAATTAAAAAGTGAATCTGGGGCTAGAGAGATGGCCCAGCACCCACATCCATAACTCCCAGGTCCAGGGGATCCAGCACCCTCTTCTGGCCCCCCACAGGAATTGCTCACGCAAGTATATTTACTTACATTCAGGCAAAACACTCATACATATTTAAATAAAAATAAATAAGTCGCCGGGCGTAGTGGCGCACGCCTTTAATCCCAGCACTTGGGAGGCAGAGGCAGGTGGATCTTTGTGAGTTCGAGGCCAGCCTGGTCTACATAGTGAGTTCCAGGACAGCTGGGGCTACAAGGAGACCCTGTCTCAAAAAAAGACAAAAAAAAAGACAAATCAATCAATCAATCAATCAAAAAAACTTTTCAGTGAACCTGGACTTCCTGGGCAGCTACATGAGTCAATACTTTGAAGTTACCTGAGTGGTGTCTAGCACAAACTTTAAACTAATCAGACCTTTGAAAAAATATTTTAACATATTAACTGACAACTTTTATCACAATCTCTACACTGTTTTAATTCCATAGGGAGCTCACTTAGTCACTACTGAGCACCCAGTGGTAGTGAATGCACCAGCAAGCAGCTGGGAATTGCTAAGTCAAAGATGTGCAGTCTCTAGGAGCACTGTGGAAATCATATACAGCAGTCTAAACAAAGGGAAGCTACATTTCAGAGTATTTATTAAATAAGCAACACCAACTGACCATGGTCTTCACTATTGAATATTCCAGAAACAAGTGAAAATGGCCCTTCTCCGCAACTCTTTCTTCCACAATGAGAGAACAAAAAAGGTAAGAGATGCAGAGCATTAATATTCTCGCCACCTGAGAAGGTGTGTGTTGCTATGGTGCTTCCCAGAGTTCTGCTCCTCCCCCTGATTACAGTCAGAAGTTACAGGGTAATGACAGGTCATGGGCATCATCTGTGGAATCAAAGGGCTATTTCAGATGATCCCTATGGGCAAGCAGCAAGACATTCATCTTCTTAAAAAATGAAATATAGGGTAGCTCATACCACATATCAAATGGTGCAGGCAAGTGGAGAGTACTGCAGGAGTTAGGGTGACTGCAGGGCTAAAGTGTCCAGGCACACTTTGGAAACAGGGCCAGGCTCGAGGGGAACCACTGACAGAGAAGAAGAAAAGAGAGCTCCAAAAGAGTGAGCAGACTGAGGATCCTTCGGGAAATACAGAGAGAAAAGCTAACAGGGAGAATTCAAGTGCTCTAAAGAAAATGGAAATAGGAACAAATTTGGTAAAATTTTTCATTAATTTATTTGAAGAAATCTGCAGAAACATCACTTTCCCTGTTGGGGACAAAAGGGGGGAGGAAGTGGTCTGCAGGATGGCTCAGGAGGTAATCCTGAGTCTGATGACCTGAAATGAATGCCCGAGACCCACATAGTGGAAGGGGAGAACAGACTCCCTCTAGTCCTGTGACCTCTACACATGTGTGCATGTGTATACACAATAAATCAAATAATGTAATTTTTAAAATTTTTTTAAAAAAAAACAGATAAAGGAAAACAGTTTATTCCACTCTTCAAATAAAAAGACTGCATATATGTTGAAAGAAGTTTAAACATGAAAGTTAAAAAGTCAGAGAGAGGGACCCACTGGCAAATATCCTAACACGTGCTAGTTTATTATAGAAACTGGATAACTAGAGGTACCAGACTATTGAAATAAAACAAAGTACTGCTCTTCAAAAGATCTATACGTGAGAATCTCTTAACAAAATTATGTTCTGAAATTTTGTGGTTGTGCAGCACATTTGGCCAAAGCAACCTTAAAATTTCAGATTACCAATCCTAAGTCAATTTCTTGAGGGCTCTTTACATATTTCATTACATTTTATCAATTAAAAAATTACATTTTGTTACTTTGAGAACTGAGTTAAAATTTACAGCTAGCCAGAGTTTCTTTAAAATCCTATATTCTTCTACATTCTTCATCCATACTGCCTCTCCATCTTGATGCCAATGTTATTAAGCAAGGTGAACTTCGATAAAATCCTCATCTAGGGGCTGGAAAGATGGTTCAGTGGTTAAGAGCACTGGCTGCTCTTACAGAGGACCTGGGTTTGGTTCCCAACACCCACATGGTGGCTAACAACCAACCATAACTCCAGTTCCAGAGAATCCATGCCCTCACGCCCTCTTCTGATTTCTGCAGGCATTGCAAGACACAGGTGCACTCACACGCATGCAGACAATACATTCATACATATAAAAATAATTTTTAAAAAAATGAAAGAAATCTTCGTCTAGTCAGCAGGTAACAAGACAAGCAAGTAAAAGAGAAGACAAGTCCTGGTCTGGTGTCTTTCAGGCCCTTCTCATAGTAGTATTGGACACAAGCCTAACATCTGCTTGTGACAAAGCCCTCCATTGATGGTTTCTAGTCCCCCAGGAATACATTTGGTCCACACACCATTGAAAGTTATACAAAGAAATCCCATGAAACGGTTAAGAAATTATTCCAGGCTTCTTAAGCTTTTACTGAACACTTATATAGAAATCAAAGTTGATGTAAATGTCAGGTCCTAAGGAAGAAGTAACATCTAGAAATCCAAAAAAATGAGGCTAGAGAGATGGCTCAGCAGTTATGACGAGTGGCTGCTTTTGCAGAGGACCCAGGTTCAGTTCCCAGCATCTATACAGTGGCTAACAATTGTCCATAATTCCAGTTCCAGGAGATCCAAAGTCCTCTTCTGACCTCCATGGACAATGCACAACACCAGTGCACTTGCATGCAGGCAATATGCATAAAATAAAAATAATAAAATAAAAAAATCCAACTAAGTGACTCAAAAATACATCAGGAAGACATCAAGTTCTCATGACAATTTGGACAGGGCTGGCACTCAAGCAGAGAACACTATGTCTGAGAGACTCGGAAGACAGAAATCAGAACACAAAACTAGTATGTACAGAAATAAGCATGCACTCTTCAAGTCTGCTTACATCATATACAACCTGATATACTCAGTATCGATCAACAGAAATGCCTCACTTTATAGTCAGTCCTTAACCTTGGAAACTATAGACCCTCTGTTGACAGCTCTCTTCTTGACCTGCCTTGGAGTTTTTTTCTCAACCAAGTCTCAAAGTTGAGCTTCTGTGTCCTGTTTTAGCAAGAACCCTGCTGGATCAGTTTAAGGAGAATATTATACCCTTGGGAGCTGCTAAGTGCAATGTCAGGCACCACCACCCTTGATGTCTAAGCATTGGCCTGCCTCAAGCAGGAAGCCTATTATAGCCTCCTGACAGGAATTTTCCTACCTCAGATGCCTCCTCTTATTAATCCTATACCCACTCATCCCATCACCTTGTTCCTTGACTATAAATTCCCAGTTACCTCTACCATTTTGAGTAGTCTAATCTGTAATCCCCAGGGCAATACCTCATTGCAACAATCTCGAGCACGGTCTTCCGTCTCAGTAAGTGTCAGAAGGTTTTTCCTTTGTTCAAATCAGCTGTCTGATTTATAAAATCTAAAGATCATTGTGACAAAAGTTGTAATTGTTAAATAATAGAAATAATTGTTATCACATAAAAAAATCATCCCTAAGATCAACTTCATTAACACCTCGTTGCAATGAAGATTGTTTTACAACAAAGTTGTGTCACTTCCAGTCTATTATCCTGTTGTCTGGTGTTACCATGCAGGTCTAGCACCAAATAGGCTCAAATAATTTCATTCTGTTTTACAAAGAACTGCCAATCCCATGCTGCTTCCTAAGTTTTCTAGTATGTACACACGTACAAAACATGGTCCCAAACAATACAATGTGTTAAAGTAGTGTTTATGTCAATTCTTAAAGTTCTAACTGTTCCATATGCAAATATCATGAGACAAAAATATTGAACTGTATCTTGCAGGGTCCTACAGATTACTATCATAATAGTCCTTCTGGATAAAGAGATACAAAAATAACAGACTGTGTTGAATGATGTCTTGATATCCCATGAAAAAATATAGTCAGCCTCTGAGATGGCCCCGAAAGCAAGTGCTGTGTGTGAATGTGAGTGTGTGTGAGAGAATCTGTATATTCACCTACCTGTCTCTCCAGCTGTTTTGTTCTTCCCATGGGGCTTATAGAGAACATAGGAGCATCCTTTTACATGGAAGTGGTCATTAATTTGTCTAAACCATCTGAAAACAAGAAGAAAATGTACTTATAGCAATAGTTTCGTAACAAGGAAGGCCATTGTTCTAATTCTAGAGAAAGCCAAGCACAGCCCTCATTTGGCATAGCTGGGACCCAGCACCAAAATACACAATTTACTACCCATATATATACACTACAGCATTATTACTTTTCAGAACTAGAAATAAGGTATTGCCTCTAAGTAGCAGCTTCGTACCTCATGAGTGTTGTATTTCCAGTGAAAGGGCCAAACCTAATATCTTCAAATGGGGGTTGAAAGCCCAAAATATGTAAAGCCTCTTCTTGGGTAATAGGTGGGAGACTATAAAAGAAACATTACCTTTCATTTCACAATTCCAGTTATATGCAAATATAATCTGTCTCGATGTTAATATAAAGATTTAGCTTGCAAACAGTTTGAGTAATATTTTTCATTTTTATGTTATTGAAAAGAATACATACAAAACTTTAAGCTAAAAGGCTAACAACAATATACACAGTTTTTTCTTAATTTATGTAAAATCTACTCTCAGAGTCTTCCATTACAGAAAAGGTACCATCAAACTACTTTCAACTTTGGAGTTTGGGGATAGCAATAAACTGGCATACTTACTTCCCGGCTCCCATTGTGCTGTATAGGAAATTCCAACAAGAAATTAAGGAGGAGATGCCACATGAAGTCTTATACTGTGGTCGGCTTATGCAGTACCTGAGAAAACAAAAGACGGTGTTCTTCCCTCGAATGAATATGAAAAATGCAAAATAAAAATACACATCTTACAGTAATTTAAAGTATGATAAAAAAAACTTTATTTAGGGGCTAGAGAAATGGCTCAGGGGTTAAGAGAGCTGGCTACTCTTGCAGAGGGCCCAGGTTCAGTTCCCAGCACCCACATGGTGGCCAACAACCATCAGAACTCTGGTTTCAGAGGATCTGACACCCTCTTCTGACTTCTGCAGGCATTGCACACACAGTACACTTACATACACACAGGCAAAGCACTCACACACAAAATAAAATAAATCCAAAAAAGTTGAAAAAAAAACCTTTATTTAAATGTAATATAAAATTGTTATTTAAAGTATTTCATATTTATTAAACACATCCTGAATGCCTAATAGGAAAAAGCCTCTATTTTAGCAAGAATACCTAAATTATGGCTAGCAAACTACTAGAGTGTACCTTATTCAAACCAAGAAAAGAATTAATGCTATATAAATTCCGATGTGAGCTAGTAAAATTTCTGTCTGACTACCCAGTCGAGCTCAGCACAAGTCATTTGCAGCTTATGAAATACTGGAGAATTGGAACAAAGCACTGTCCCTTCATGTCAAGCTTTGAGAGAGTCTTCTGTTCAAACTAAAACATATCCATTTATCATCCACCATGGCCAGATGAAGCCTTGGGCAGAAAGCCACAGAGCAGAATTGTCACTGAGGATTTAAAAAGAAAACACAAAATTCTTCTGTGACACAATTTAGTTGCACTGCTTAACCCAGGAAGCTCTTCCAAGTGCACATGCTTCAAGAAAAATGACACAGACTAAAGTGAACGTAAAATGAAAGAAAGACTATGGTATTCAGTTTCTGAAAAGAAATAAGATTGGTAACTATCAAATAGTATTTTGCTAAACAATGAATCCTAACAAGTGGCCAGAAGAGAAAAGAGAAACCAGCCATATCATCACTATGCACAATTTTAGCTTCACCTGAAAGCGTATCAAGAGAAGAAACATTTCTACATATATATTTGTATGCCTTATGTTTGTATATGTGCACATACTAGATAGATAGATAGATAGATAGATAGATAGATAGATAGATAGATAGATAGATAGATATGAAAATCAACAATAATATGTAGATGTACAGACTAAACTAGGACTATTAAAATATCTAGGCCAAAAAAAAGTAATGGCAATTTGTCATAATATACTAATTGTTATGGGCTAGACTAAAGAAAACTGCCTAACTTCTAATATCTGTGAACATGACCTTAATTAGAAATAGGGTCTTAACATATTCAAGTTAATATGAGGTCATACTGAAGTAGGCCCTTGTGACGGTTTGAATGAAAAATCCCCCATGGCACCAAGTATTTGAACACTTGGTCCCCAGTTCATGGTACTGTTTGGGGAGGGTCATGGGACCTTTAGAAGGTGTGGTCATACTGGAGGGAACATGTCACTTCTAGGAGAGGGCTTTGGGAGTCCTTAAGTCTTCAGGTTCCAGAGTCCATCATGGCAGGAAGCATGGTGGCCAGAGCAGAAAGGCCCTCACATCTTCAAGCAGGCATAGGAAGCAGAGAGTAACTGGAGATCTGGCAAGGCTTAAGAACTCTCTAAGCCATCCCCTAGTGACGCATTTTCTTCAGCATGGGCACACCTCCTAAAACCTCCCAAAACAGCGCCACCAACTGGGGACATTCTCATTCAAACCACCACAATGACAAAACCCTAATACTATAAAAGTCTCACACAAAAGAATCTTTAAAACTCCAATCAAAAATTAGTAACATGTGAAAGCTATTACAATCGAATGCTTTTTTCTTTCTTTTTTTTTTGAATGCTTTTTTCTTTAAAGTGGGAACTGTATTCAGATAATGAACTAGCTCATGCTTCGGCTGATAAAGTGAAGCTTTTATCAGAACATCAGGCAACTAAAGTGAAAATAATGACAGAATTTTGAAATATAACCAACCATATTCAATAAGGATACAGGCAAGAGCTATCAGAAGACGATGGGAGCCTGGATGATGCGAATGCCCTTCTGTCACCTCATTTGATAATGGCAAAGGGAAAACAGAGAGCTGGCAGTGTGTAATGTGGCTGTCATTCTCTACATCTAGACATTGCTCTTGAAGTCTCTAATGCCTGATAATCACCCTCTGGGATGCAGCATGCAGTACCCAGGATCATTTTAAGTGGTTCTATGGCCTAAATTGTTTCCCTGGGCTCTAATCAAGTCATTATATCTAACTTCCACTTTACAGGGAATACTAAGATTAGATGAATAAGCTACTAAAAGGAAAAATCTCTCCAGCTAAGCGACACAGTGCTTGCCTAGCACAGGTGAGACCCTGGGTTTAAGTCTGAACACCAGAAAATGTAAATATCCTGAAGGTAGGGTGTTCTACAAGATAACTGTCCAAGTTCCTGAAACAAGTCAGTCTCTACCATTTTACTTATCAATTTAAATCAATAAATGAATACAGAAATAAAGAATAAGTCAATCTCCCAGAATTTAAAAAGTCAAAGGGAGGAGGGTGGAGACTGAGACAAGCAAGCACTTACATGGCTAATTTTTAGAACAATCTATAAAATGTGAATTTAGCCTAGAAATTATATACTAAGGAAGTGTTTTATTAGGTTTGGCGGTAGTATTACTATAACTTAAAAAGTCATCTTTAGAAATGCATACTTAGGTATTTTGATATAAATGTCATCACTCATCCTCAACTCCTCAGCAGAGAACCATTTGGGTTCACAACTACATCAAAATTTAAGTATTGTTCCATCTAGCAAACCATTATGTGGGATCACAGATGAGCCCAATAGCTAGGCAAGTCTAGGAAACAGAGGCCTAGCTCATTATTAATCTGCTTTCAAACTTTGAGGCACATTTGAATATTTAGAAACAATCTCCGAAATAAATGTATCCATATTACATACTATTTATTAACCTATAAACGACAAATTAACGCCCATATATCTTATGATTGTAATATAAAAACTGACATGACTACATTACCATCGTCTGAGGTCTAGTACTTTGCGCTGTTTAACATCCTCAAGAGGAGAGTGTTGGGGACACTCCCTCTGGTGTCTTCCTTTCTTATCTGAAGTTTTTTTCTTGGAAACTTGTTTCTTCACACTGCCTAGAATACAAAGGAAAAAAATAAGAAATATGTTCATCCAAAGCTGTAACAGAATTAGAAAGGACTATCATTGGTTCTGAAAATGGTATTTGCAAACAAATTGAAGTAATAGCTGTACTTTCAAGAATAGTTCTTGTGCCGAAAGAAAGCAAGAGAGAGGCGTTAAAACAATTTCAATGGCCACATATGGTATTTCCTATCAAGTTCTTATATTCCAATTTCAGGGCTAGTCACTTAGAGCTGGTAAAAGAATCAATCACAAAATCTTTAGCCACATCTACAAACTCAAATCATCAGCAGGAAAAATTAAACTAGAACACTTTCCAGAGAATGAGTCCTTTTATAAAACAATAAAATGGCATTAATGTAAGTCTATTAGAAAATAAAAGCACTGTATCCAATAATGTGATGACGTGATGTTTAAAAATAACTCCAGGCCTTCAGAGACCTCAAAACGAATTTAAAATGAAGCACATGTGTACATTATTAAAATGAAACCTTAGGGGACTGGAGAGATGGCTCAGCAGTTAAGAGCACTGACTGCTCTGCTCTTGCAGAGGACCTGGGTTCAATTTCCAGAACCCACATGGCCCATCCCTAACTCCAGTTCCAAGGGAATCTGATGCCCTCTTCTGACCTCTGTGGGTTTTGCATGACATGGGTGCACTTAGGCGCATGCAGGCAATACACTCACATACATACAATAGAAATAATTTTTTTAAATATTTTTTTAAAGTGAAACCTTAACACCAGGAACCAGAGTGCAAAACATGATCTCCTTTCTGTGTGTATACATTATCTCACATGCACACACATGCATGAATGCAGACACACATGCACACCCATACATGTGCACACACATGCATACACACACATGCACACCCCTCCCCAAATACATGAAAGATGACAAACAGTGGCTACAAACTGGGGAAGGAACACAGAGCTGAACAAAAAGCAAGAGTGAGAACTGATCTTGTTTAATTTTCATACACTTATTTCTGAACCATGCTGTTTTATACTCAAAATATTATACAAATTAAAATATGAATAAATAACACCAAAATTTCTTCTGTTAGGGGGATGCCTTCCTTTGTCTCACAATGACAATTCCCTTGGTAGTTTTTCCAGCCACTGGAAGTTCTGAGACTAATGAAACATCAAAGACTGTGATCTTGGTGGGCCAGAGTGCTCTGTCCTCGCCCTTCCCTCATGAGGATCCACGAGTCTGTCTCTGTACTCATCTAGTGTTTTCCTATGACTCTCTGGGGTGAATGAGCATACACACATGTAAGCTGGCAGAGAATCCCCACACTGCCACAAAGAGATCTGGCCTTACAGGCAACATTTCACTTAACCTGCAGGAAGAAAGCAAAATCAAAATGGAAGCTGAGATCAGAATACAGAAGAAAAACCTCTCACACGCCCATCTCCTTGTCACCTCAATTTGCCCTTTGCCCTGAATCATCACCATCTCTTCTTTCCCACCCACAAACACTCACATAGCCCAACACCAAAATGCACGCATGCGCGCGCGCGCACACACACACACACACACACACACACACACACACCACACGCACACTATGCTAATATTTAGAGACAGTATGAGGATACCAAATAAATGAAAACCTACAGCTGTTGTGATGGCACACACTGTAATCCCAGCACTCAGAAGGCTGATGGAGAAGGGTTAGGAATTAGAGGCCAGGCTGAGGTACACAGACCCCTGTGTCTCCAGAAAACAAAGGCGGGGAAGATTCACCACTGTTTTTCCTTAAAGATGTTCAAGACAGAGTTCTGGGCAATTGATATCAATGGAAAGTGAGATGGGAAGGAATCTAAAATAGGAAAGTCAGAAAGATAGGTCCAAATTCTGTGTATAAATGTGGCACAAATCTTGTGCTAACCCCAAGTCACAAAGTGCACAGAGTAGACCTCACACAGCTAAGGCTAACAGGACTAAACCAAGAATGGAGCACAACTTGCAGTTTTGGTTCAACCAAACCATCTGCCAATAATAATAATAATAAATAATATTTGTTAAAATAATTTACCAGTCTACGCAACAGTCCCAACATCCAGGAAACAATCCAAAATTACAGAGCATGTGAAGAAACTGAAAAATGAGTCACACTCAAGGCAAACAATAAGGCCAATTCTGACCTAACCCAGATTTTAAAATCTCAGATAAGGATTTTGAAGTGGGTATCATAACTGTGCAATATGAGATAGATAAAATGCTCTTGTAATAAGTCTCTGCTAGTGAGGAAGAGCTACAAAGAAATGTAAATTCTAGGGGCCGGAAAGATGACTCAGTGGTTAAAAGCACAGGCTGCTCTTGCAGAGGACTCGTGTTCAATTCCCAGCACCTGCATGGCAGCTAACAATGGTCCATAACTCTAGTTCCAAGGGAATCTGATGCCCTCTTCTGACCTCTGCGGGCACTGTATGACATCAGTGCACTTACACACAGGGAATACACTCATACACATAAAATAAAAATAATAAATTTTAAAAAAGAAAGTTCTAGAATTCACTAGAACTAAAATTAACAAATGGAAAAAGATGTACCACAAAACCATTAATCACAAGAAAGCTGGAATGGCTATGTCAATATCAAAGTAGTTTTCAGAACCTGAAATCCTGAAACATACATCATAGTAACAAAGGAGGTCAATTTTTTTCAAGACAAGGTCTTGCTGTGTGGCCTAGGCTAGCCTGGCACTCACTACATATCCCAGGCTGTCCTCAAACTCATGATCCTTTGGCTTCGGTCTGCAGTGTTGGGATTTAAAGACATATGCCACTACGCCTAGCTAAAATAGGACAATTCTTGAAGAAAGCATAAAGATCACATGTGTGTGTGTACGATAAAGGAGCTTCAAAGCACATTTAAAAAAAAAAAAATCTCAATAGAATTAACAGCAGAGATCACCCAATAAAGAATGGCTGCTCATTCCCCAGCCCAGTGGCCAGCAGCTGAAAGTGCCACGGTGATACTTAGAAGCAAGGTTGAAAACTGTTTTGTCTTTGTTTTTTTAAATAATGTATTGAGAATTTCATACATGCATATAAGGTGTTTTGATCAAATCCATGCCCACTCCCTCCCTGCCAACTCCTCCCATATCTCCCCATCTAATTGCCAACTGACCTTCTGATCTTGGAAGCTCAGTCCTTGTCACAACTCTCCTCCAATGTTGCAGTCCCCTCCCCTCCAGCAGAAGGAAATCATCAGATGATTTAAAGAGCAGGACCTTTGGGTGTTTTCTTACTCTCCTTTTATGTCCTTTTTTTTTCTTTTTTATGTCCTTTTTTTTTCTTTCTTTCTTTTAGAAACCAGACATTTAACGTGTAGCATATTCAAAGGCAATCACACATATGGAGAAAAAGTCAGTTTGTCCTTGAGGCTGATCACCAGGACAGACTCAGACTACAGCAATTAAAGCACAAAAACAAAAATTAACAAACCTTGGAGAAGAGGAAAGTCTATTTTCCTTACTACACTAAAATGTTGCATTTAAACAGGACACAGTGGTGCAAAACTGTAATCCTATAGTCAGGAAGCAAAGACAGGAGGATCTCCAGTTAAGAGGCCACCCTGGGGTATGTAGAGATCCTGTTTCAAAAAAATAAGGGCTGGAGATGCAGCTTAGTAGTAGAAAGGCTGCCTAATGTACAAAAGGCCCTACTTCAATCCCCAGGAACTGAAGGGAACAGAAAGAATAAAAGGCATACAAAGAAACAGAAAAGTTTGGCCCATGCAAAAGAAGAAAAAGTATTCAATCTCAGAAAAAACAGAAGACGGACTTGGGAGATAAAGAGACACCCCAAACCATCAACCTAATGAAGATGCTTAACAGCAGAGCAGTGGTACATATCTGTAATCCTAACATTTCAGAAACTGAGGCAGGAGGACCACTAATTTAGGACAAGCCTGGGCTACACTGCAAGTTTAAGGTCATCCTAGGCTACATGAAGAGCCCCTACCTCTGTGCTCCTTCATTAAAGGAGGGCCAACTAGGGTCATTGGACCCTTCACCAGAGTATCCAGCCACTCTTCCCAGCCAACTGTATGTAATTTGGCCTTAATCACACATGGTCTCCTAGATTTGGGGCAGGAGGAGGGAGGGCTAAAGTATATAATCTGGGGAAGGCTAGGAAGAGAAGGCTTGAGCCATGCTGGGTAAAGGCTTTCCAGTGTTCATATACTCAGGTCATTCATACACCTCAGCAACCCCTCAGTTATCTCAGTAAGTAAGCTCAGTAAACTCATTGGTTCCCCAGTAAAACTTTAATCAAACATTGGCTTGACACTAGAACCTAAAAAGGGAATAAGCATTGCTTAGTATCCCCAGGAAAAGAATTCTCACAAGAGATGGAAATTGTATTTGTTAATGTTATTATGTCTCATAATTATTAAAAAAAGAAAGAAAATGAGAATGTAAAAGATGTTAAAAGGATATGGAAATGGAGATATTTTCCAAAATAGAAAAAATGAGAACGCCTAAGCAAGTGATAAAGGTCTGTGTAGGTTTGTTATGATATATAAAGGATGAGACTAAAATAATATACACATAATATTAAAATGTCTGAGGTCATAGTTTAGTCAACTAGTTTAAGGAACAAAATATTTATCTAGTCAAGGTTTATCTGAGAATATTTAGTCTTTTACCCAAGCTTTATCTACACAGCACATGGTAATTAAAGTACCAGACTGGTGGACCTAATCTTATTGGATATTTAACAGCCATACTTTGAGGCCTACATTAATCTGGTCAGAGGGACTTAAAGGACATTTTTTGCCCCTTGCCCTCCAAGGTTGACTAAGTCCCAGGAGACTATGGAACATTTCTCAGAATGTCCCTTCCAGGGGCCTAAGAGCATCTCTCAAAATGTCCTGTAATTGTGGTGGGTCACCTGTCCTCTTGTTCAAGGAGGCTGAGGAGACCCCACCAGATGGACTTGAACCAGTGTCCAGCCTACAAAAAGGAGGGTCAACA